ATATGGCGGACAAAATGACATCTGTTTCATCAGAGCAAAAATCTTGATTAAGATCGAAATCACATGGGCTTTTCTCTCTGCCGACTTCAGATTTAGCAGCTGCTGCTACGTGGCTTTCTTCAACATCATCACTGTTCTTCATCCTGTTTTCAGGTTTCTTATTCTTGTCATCCATTATGTCCTCATCTCCAGTATGAAGTTCTTCAAAGGAACGGTTTTCACCCACTGATAATCCCTTAGATGGAGAACCTGTGTGTCGAACATCATCGAGGGACTCTTGCGAATCAGACTGCCCGCTTTCATCCGATAGTTCTTCTGAAGAACTGCGAGAAGGTTCTCCAGAGTCCACTTCTCTTGCGACTTCCTGAGCGACTTTGGTAGCAACCTCCAAGGCATCCACAATACCAAGTTCAATATCAGCAGTTGTTCTGTCCATTGCACCAAGGCACTGGGATACAGTCATTGATCTAGAAGAGCTGCGTTTTTTTCTTCGTTTTACTCTCCTCTTTCTATTAGAATGGAGCTTATCATCCTTTTTTGCTTCTTTTTCAGCATGAGCAGTCATATGGTCACTCTCAACATTTTTGTGTCTACCATGGCCACCTGATAAACCTGATGAATTGTCAGAATCCTGATTGTCAATCACATGAGTCAATGAAGGCAAACGTTTGCTACTATGGCCTATGCCCACATCATGCGACCCACATATTGTCTCAGACGCATTCCTGCTCACCTCATTTGAATCAAGACTGCTCTGCAAAAGGCTATTTTTCTCCAACTCCATACTTGCAGTAATAGAATCAGATGACACAATTACATGTCCTGCTGAACTTGATGTCACTGCTACTGCTCCCCCCAAATTTCCACAGTTGCCCATCTGCTTTTCCGTTGATTTCTCAGTACCCAGAGGAGCATTTGATTGGAGGCCACTAGAACCAGTAGGACCAACTGTCTCCCGCATAGAGATTTTTTCCTTTACAGAAAGATTTTCTTGAACTTCTTTCATGATATCATCGGTAGAAGAATCATTTAAACTTTCAGTCCTTGTATTAGAGCAGTGAGAATTCATCTTTAATTCAAACTCAACCTTGTCCTCCTGCAGTTCCAAACCCTTATCTTGATCAGGGTTGTTTTCTTCTGATCTTCCTGACAGCAAGGGTTCATCTGCTATTCCAAGACGATGTTTTTCATTATTATTTTCAAGGCCTGAACAAAGACTAACAGTGGATTTTTGCCCACTGCTCTCCCCGCTTACTGCTACGACTCTCATCTCATCTTTATGAACTTTGCTACAGCTTTCAGTGTCACGTTCAGAATGGTCAGAAGCTTTATCATCATTCCAGTTACCAAAAAGCTTTCTCGCCTGATCCTGAACCCGAGAACTACTATGGTCAACAAGTTTCTTGACAGCAACCCATATCCCAGAAGAAACCAGCCTAGATCTGTCTACACTCAGATTTTGAAGAGCTTCTAACAAAGCAAGAATCAACTCCTCTATACTTCTGTCAATTGAATCGTTAGCCAACATCTGCGCTTCGGCTAGCCAGCTACCTAAGTGAAGGAGTCCATCTAAATTTACAAAAACATCAAGGCATTCTCTGTTTTTTGTGGCCGCAATTGTGCCTGCAACAGCTGTCCACTGTCTAGAAAAGTCGCTAGCATTCTTCAAACCTAACTCTTTATTACTATTCATGACAGACACAAGCTCTTCAACACGAGAAGTGACCGTGAGTCCATCTTTTATTTCTTTCAGGGTAAAGAAATCCTCAAGCGTCATACTGCTTTACATATGGCAACTCCAACAACGTGGAAAACCGTTAGGAGGCAAAAAGGTTCTTTCTCCCATATGACAAGGTCCTGTGAATAAGAGAAACATAACAAGAGAAAACTTTACGTCCTTAGCCTACTGTGGCAGGTGCAAAAAACACTATCAAATCATGCTTTGATAATAGAAAGAGTGTAACTAGGAAGGTTCAATTGATATGCAAGAAATCCAACAAAACTAAACAGAATTAGAAATCTAACATCGGTGGCATTTGGCAAGAGAACGAAGTCGAATAAATATACATATGGCATAGTACCAAAACAGGGAACCACGAGTTAACTCCTCGTAACCGACCATACAGCCAATTTTGAATTGGTCGCAGTGGTACAGATTGAAAATAGCCCCATCTCAGAAACTAGAGTACATCTATTTCAATATACTCAATATACTGCCGCAACCAAATCCAAATTCCTGGTCCGGGATCAAAACACTAGGATTCGGAAGAAGTAAGAAAAATTCAACACATGTGGAAAACTATATGAGATTCGGC